TGCCTATGCACCAGGGATGGATCCCGATCCCCCTGCCTGGGTACCCCCCAAACAGTTCAAGTCAAACAACCGTCTTCTGTATCCAGAGGGCCTAGTCCAGTCCCATGGGGGCTCCACAGCCACTAGTCTACAGTTTATGCTGCCCAGAGATTTAAGGATATTGGGACCTAAGAACCATCAGCAACATCTGTATTTATGGCCATTCTTAAGGCCCTGTAGTTCTGATCTTTGAGGACAATGAGATTATAATCTTACATTGTACCTCTTTGGTTCTGCACAAAGGTCAAGTGTCTTATTTTATTGCAGAACCACTTCAGTTAATAAATTTATCAACTGACAACTCTGAACCTATTTTCCTGGTATGTCAATGGGCATTATAGTTAGCCATTTCATCCCCTATGCCAGTGAATTTCCTTTTGACCCAGCACTTCAACCTATTTTGGGCAGAGAACATGGGATGACATATTCTCTTCTGGAACTGCTGCGAGCTGACGTTGGGGTGCTGTTGTCAGGGCCCCAAAAGTATTGAAAGGCTAGTCAAAGGCTGAAAGGCTAGTCAAAGGCTGAAAGGCTAGCCAAGGTTGGGCATAGGGGCACCTGTCAGAAGCATGTGTCTATCTGACCCAGCTGTAGAGACAGGGAACAATCACATTGACTGGGCTGGTTCATATCAGCTTTTAGCAAGTTCAGAGCTCATAGTCATCCAGGGTAGTGTAGTCAGCAACTGAAGCTTGGAGGTGTCTGCCAGCCAAGTGGAAACCTGTTGAGACAAATCTAAACTAGGAACAAAAGTTAAAATTTACAAACTTATTTGGAATTTTTGGGCCCATATTCATAGTAATTGGGAAGAGCAGAAGTTCTGAGACCAGAAGAGAAAAAAATACCATTCTTAGGAATAGACAATTGGGGAAAATTTATGCTCTACATATCTGAGGTCCTTCCAACTTCTGTGAAGTGGATCCAGGTTTTGTGACTGTTTTAATCCTCTGAGGCTTATTTGCATTATCTTACAAAATGACATAAAAGTTTTAGATATCTTAGTGTTACCAATCTGTACTGAAATCCATATCATAGACAAAACAAGTGATGAGTATCTGTAAAACAGCAGAAAGGGACACACACCTTTGAGTCCTAGCAAGAACTACAGATTTTGGGTTAAAAACTTGTGAATTTTCCTTCTGTCCAGAGAGCCAGGTATAAATTAGATAGAGATATTTTTTGGCCTCATGAGAAGCACTTTTAAATTTATATTTAGATGACAACCAAAGTAAATCTAAAATGTTTAGCTTGTGACTGAATAATAAGTAGTCATTGCTTTACCAGCTTATCAGAAATCTATTCAATGTTATAAGCTCTCATATCCACAGATCATTATCTATCTTAAACATTCTTAGACCCTCAAAACTTGCATAGATTTTCATATCATCAGACCTTTTTTTAGATCCATATTTAAACCTTTATGAGTTATTTAAACTTTTTTATCTTAGAACATTTTCTTTAAAATGAGCAAACAAGCTAGTTATAGCCTTGTGGAAGGATCTGATTGTCTGATGCTGCTAAGCTAACAAAGTTATAGCTAGCCTAGCCATCAGTATTATCAGAGATCTGAGAAGGATAAATTATATCTGAATGCAGACCAAGCAATTTATGATTCTATAAATGACAGGGACAAGTCCATACTCAGGTCTCCATAGCATTGGAGGCACAAGTATCAAAAGAGCATCATCTTCAGCCATCAGGCACAGAAGGAAGAGTTTTTCCAGTAGAAAAGGGACACAGGAAGACTGATCTTACTTTGTCTAGGCAAAAGGGGTGCAATCAATTCTCCAGTGTCCTGCTGCTTGTCCACAGTCTGGGCCAGGTCCTGTCAGCAGGTGTCACATTGTAGGCATCTTCCCTGTGTTCAGCATTACCAAAATCTAGGTGGAGACATCGTGTAGTGCCCCGTACATAATCTTCTTTGGAGACCTTGGGTCATTGCTAGGATCTGGAAGTCTGTCTGATATAATAAGCTTTTAGATCAACATTTTAAATGCCATATTCTGCAGATCTCTGAAGTATGAGGGCTGTCCAGGTGTATCCGAATAGATAAACTTTGTTTCTAGTTTCTTGTTTTAAGCTCAACCTTGAAAACATATGCAGGGGACTAAGTAAAGCTTGTCCCTGTAATTAATTGCATCAGTACTTAGCATGACTACAATTAAAGAACTTGATTATTTATAAGATGACTATTTACTTATGTTCTCTAATAGTCTACAATAAGCAGCCTTGAAAACAATGATTTTAAATTGAAACTTTTCTAGTATCAAATACAGGTTAAGTAAAGAAACCAAAACAAAATATCAATATAAAACATTCATATGGCTCAGTTTATCCAAATAGCTTAGCTTAACAAATTTAGCAAAGACAAGGAGGCTAAATATACATTCTTAAGCCTGAATAGACTTGAGTAAGAAGAAACGTTCTCCAAGTCACTGGTTCTCAACTTTCCCAATGCTATTTCATAACCTCAGTTTTGCCATTGTTATGAACCTCAATGCAAATATCTGACATACAGGTGGACCTAGGCTACCCCTGTAAAGAGGTTTTACAACTCCCAAAGGGTGGAGATTCATGGGGTCAGAAACTATTCCAAGCCCTTTGCCTAGATCATTGTCTTGCTGTATCACAAGAAATGGACAACCCAGTTTCTGGTGACTATCACCTAGGTGACTCCTTTTTTACTTTTAAAAAATTATTTTATTCATTTTACATACAAACCATAGATTCCCCTCTCATCCTTCCTCCCACTCCCCACCCCCCACACCCCGTGACTCTTACATTACAAAGTTTAGCTGCCAGAGCACGGTACATTCTTGTATATAAAAGCATTGAGGTGAAGATTTAATACTTATCAAATACTTATTTATTAAATACATGTAGTCATTTATTTAAATTCTTTAGAAGATTACTGTTGAGCACTTGGCAAAGTCATAAGTACTTAGGTGTAAATCTCTAAGTTAGCTTTTGTTAACCTGAATAGATATTTATAACATTAGTAAAAAGATGGCTTTCAGCCATGTGGCTGCCTACATGATGATGAGATCACCAGCCAAGGTGGAGGAAAGCCATGTAGTTGCTCTTTAAAACATGTTTTTCTAAAGAATAGTTACTTACATACATATGCATAGTTGGATCCAAGTTACACATACATACATACAGTTAAAGCTAGCTTACATTCACACATCCAAGTCATATATGTGTCCACACACACACATATATACATATATATGTATGTATGTGTATATATATATATATATATATATATATATATATATATATATAAAACATAAGTGGTTTGCAGTGAAGAATCATCAGCTAATTTTAAAATGAGAACCAACCATAATTAACTTTCAAATTCAGTATTTGCAGGGATGAGAAACTTCAACATAGTTCATATCTCTTCTGACCTTCTACAACCTTCTATGTACCTTCAGTCTGTTTCTTTGATTCCTCAGAGATTTACTTCAGACAATTTTTTTCTTTTTTTCTTATTATTTTAGTCTGCTTTCTCTCTTATTTTTTAAGCACAGAAACTCTTACCAAAGTCTTTCTTGTAATTTCTTTCAGTAGTCTAGGATATATTATAAAGCTACAATATTTTAAACAACAACAGAAATACATGTGTATACCATAACAAGAATAACTCTAAATTTGCATCAACACTGTACTGGCATGAAGAATCTATTGGATCTGAATGACCAAGGCAGCCCTGGCTACAGCATTATTACATAGCTGCCTTAGCTTAGCAACCATAGGCTGTGACATTCCATTCCTCCCTTGGAGTAGGCAGCCCCGGAGCAGGTCTTGGGAGCCCCACTCATCAGCATGGGAGGAGGAGTATAGCATGAGGACAAAAGATCAGAGCCAAGCCAACTCCAGATTCCCAAGTGCATGAAAGTGTCAGACTAGAAGGGACTCTATGCCCCAGCCAGGTTCCTCTGGAGCTATGACTACAGAGGGGTAGTTCTCCATCAGCCCAGAGCCACACAGGACCCAGGTATGTTCCAAGCTACAGAAGGCCCCGCCTGCTCTGCTCTGCTCTACCCTGTGGTCTTGCCCTGAAGCCAGAGCCTCGAGGTGCTCATGACCTGCCCTAGCTCTTAGTCCCCACAGCAGCTTCTGGGCCTCCCTGACCACCACTAGCACCCTGCCACAAAGTCTCCACCCCATGGCTCCCTGTGCAGGCCCAGCCTCGAACTTGTCATGTTCGGGCCATGGTGTTCATGGCTCACCCTAGCTCTCAGCGGCTCGATGGCACCCCAGGTCCCTGCAACAGCCCGTAGGCCACCCTGGCCGACACCCATGTTGCACCACAACAATGTGGTCCCCTGTCTTCTGCTGCCTATGCTCTGGGTCAGAGGGTAAGGAAGCAATGGGGGAGTACTCTTAGTCTGTCCCAGTTCAATCAAAGGGACCCTCTGTCCCTTGTGCTGTCCATCTGGCCCCAAAGACTGTCTACAGGAGTCACAATGCACACACAAGCCTAGGCATAAATCATGCATACTTGTGGCCACATTTTTCACACATTTACACATTCGTATAGGCAGGAAATTCCAACAGAAAGGCATACAATTTTCCCAGGAAACAGATGTGAGGGTCCCCGCCTCACTACAGATTTGAGGCTCTCTGTCTTCAATCAAACAGATATGGGGGGTCTCTGCCCCACTACAGATAAACAGATGTGGAGTTCTCCGACCCCACCACCGGGGTCTGAAACGTCTTCTAGGACCCTGTGATCATGGTTCTCCAACAGATCTGCCCTTAACCATTCCTGATCACAATCACCGACTTCGGCTAGTCATAGAAATAAAACTGAACACAGACAGACAGACACTTACCGGCCAGCTTCAGGCTCTATGGGCCGTGGTCCCAGTGGGCTTGGGGGATCCTGCATGAGTCCCCAGATGTTATGCTCAGAGCACCAGGAATCCCAAAAGACTACCAAAGGAGACCAAATCCCATATGTAAAAGCAAACAGCCTTTATTTTCAAGCTCAGAGCTTGGAATCTCTGTATAACACAGCAGTGAGAGCAGAGAGCCCGGAGCTCAGGAAGGGTAGGTTTTTATCATAGAAGATGTACAGACAGACAGGAAGTGACAGAGCTGGGCTGGAAGAGGAAGTGATGTAGCTGGGTAGAGAGGAAATGAGTTAGCAGACCAGAAAGGAATATAGGCACGGATATACAGGAAGTAGGTCTCTTTCAAAGTGGAGGGTCAGTGAGGTGAGGCTGGCTTGTGGCTTGTTCTATTCCTTTGATCTGTCAACCCCAATTTCTGGCTCCATGTTTTTTATTAATAAGACCATTTAGCAATTTGTCTATAGTTCAACATCCTTATTCATCAGGAATATGCATATTAAAACCTCTTTGAGATTTCATCTTACACTACTCAGGATGGCCAATATCATTAAAACAGTTGACAGCACACGATGGTGAGGAAGTGGTGTAAGAATTCTTTTTTTTTTTTTGGTTTTTCGAGACAGGGTTTCTCTGTGTAGCTTTGCGCCTTTCCTGGTACTCGCTTTGGAGACCAGGCTGGCCTCGAACTCACAGAGATCCGCCTGCCTCTGCCTCCCGAGTGCTGGGATTAAAGGCGTGCGCCACCACCGCCCGGCGAGAATTCTTATCCATTGCTGGTGGAAATACAAACTTGTATTGTGACGTTGGAAATCAGTGTGGTTTTGCCTGGGGAACCTGGGAATAGATCTACCTCAAGATCCAGATGAGCCATTCTTGGGCATATACCCAAAGGAATCTATATATTATTACAGAGACACTTGGTGATTATATTTGGTGCTGCTTTATTAACATTAGTTAGAAATAGGAAATAGCCTAGCTGTCCATAAATGAATGAACAGATAATGAAAATTTGGTACATTTACACAATGAAATTTTATTTAGGTGTTAAAAAACAATATCATGTAACTCATAGTTAAATGGATGGAAAAATGCTACAAAAGAGTACATTTTTTTTAATGGGAAATCATCCATTTATTATTTAAAGACCACAAGACAACATCTGAATTTCTGGAGCACAATTTAAATGCTTTATTTTTTTCAATAAAGCAGCAGAATAAAACAGAAAAAAAAAACAAATTATTTTCCAGTAATATCTATAACTCTATCAGAATTAAGTCTTCCACAGACATGCTACCTGGAAATAAAAGCCTGTTACAATAAGCAAAGCTTCAACCAGAGTGGCTACTTTTCCTGACAGGAAGAAGTTCATATCTATAGGAGGAATGATGTGCCATGTAAAATGGCCACAGATCACAGCCTTAGTGGCACTGGAAGTCTATTATCCAATCCCACATTTAGTAGTTTTGTGAATTTGAAAAGTCAGTTTACCTGTAACCATGCTGGCAACCTTTAACAGTTAAAAAATAAATTTTAAAAAAAAATCTCTTAACTGGTGTTCCTTGATTTCCATTAGTAAAGGTACACACTTCATTACAATGTAATTCTCCTTCAGAATTACACACGAGACTCCTTGCTTAGGTTTTAACTAGCAGTAGGGATCACAAATTCAAATTCTTAGTTATCAATAACTTGTCAGCTAAGGTCAGGTAACAGCTGCAGCTACGGAACAGGTGCACTGCCTAGGTGCTTTGGAAAGACATAATCTACAGCACTAACACATGAAACTGACCTGTGATTGCACAGTGGAAGTGCAATAGAGCAGTACAAACATATTCATATGGTGGCTTCTTTGTTTCAGCCTCAAGCCCTCTGCCTTTTATTGAAACACAAGAATTTAAGCTCCAGGAGGGCAAATGTCTAACTTATACTCTAAACCAAGTAGTGATGCAAGCTCACTACTACCAAGGCTGAATACATAAACGTAGAGACTTATACACAAACACAGTCTGAAAAATTACTGCCTGTATAGAGATGGTCCTGCAGAGCTTTTACCTCAAAATCTATCAGTGAACAATAATGTACTGGAGATAACTACAACTTACTAATCAAATATTTGAATACTTATACTTACCTGGGATTTCATTTCTCCTAAAAGAAATAGGAAGAATGGGACTCACTTAAAAAAAAAAAACTTTAAAAAGGAAGGTAAAAATCTTATCACACACATCACTTTTAGAAGCAGCAGAGGAGGGGCAGTCAGAGGCTTAACCACTGGTGAAATAGGTAAAAAAAATAGGCAAAAACATCTACATTGTTATCAATAACAGTACCACAACTGTGCCATTCATGATTAATATCCACTCGTAAGAATTTTCATTTGGCACTAGATGGCGTGTTTAAGAGAAACACTCTAGGATGTTTGAAACAAGACTTGGTATCGTTAGCAGTCACAGGCAAATCTAAAGGGAGGTGAAGGAATAGAAATGGCAAAGAGCCTGAAAAATCTGAGTCACCATCTAAATCAATAAAGCACTGCTAGCGTCAAGCATTAGGTCAGACACTAAAATAACTGATACAGGCTCCAGTGGTTTATAAAACTATAAAAAGACTACACCAGCAAGGTTCCTGTCACCCTGTCAGAGTTCACACACTAACACAGGAAGCAATATTTTAGTTTAAACCTTATCTCAGAAGAATCAATATCACTTCACATGAGTAAAAATACCTGAAAGCAAACATTTTTAAAAGTTCCAATACTCAAAATACGAAGAAAAAAAAAAAAAGAAGGATCAGAAGACTCGATCAATTCATGGAATCACAAAATGGCTGCTCAGTCTCTATCTCCTTCCACATTAAGTATCCCATGGAAGACCAAGGGAGACCAGACCTTCCAGACCTTTGCAAAACCTGCTTCCTGCAACACTCTACAGAGATTCCTTTTGGAATAACAGTTTCTTATCCCATCTCTCCTTATGCAGGAGGCAAGTCTGCCTGTGCTATTCTATTATCATTATATATCACCCACCTGCAACACAGTGCTGTACAGATAAACACAAAGCATCTTATCTAGTTCCCTTTCCCCCAGAAGGTTGAGGCTCAGGTATAGGGGTAATTGTCCTGTGTGCAGTCTTTATTCAGGCTGACTCAGTGACTTCAACAGGTTTAATCATGTGGTCAGGTTTGTTTCCAGCTGCATAATGCTCCCACATCTTCAGATACAGTCGCTCTAATTCCACTGTGTATTGTTTGGTGTTGAACAGAGGGCTAGATAGTCTCTGTTTCCAGACTTTGCTACGAATTTGCTGCAGATATTCTAGATCTGTTCCCAGTTTTACAGCTATGTCTTCATATTCTTGTCTGTTTTTAGCAATGAGCTCAAGACATCCTAGGCAAGTAAGCTGAGAAGCTGCAACTCGAGAGGCAAGAGTCTCTCCTGGCATAGTCACCATGGGTGTTCCTGCCCAGAGAACATCCATCCCTGTGGTGTGCCCATTACATAAGGGAGTGTCCAGGCAGATATCAGCCAGTTGACCTCTCCTGACATGCTCCTCCTTAGGAGCCACAGGTGAAAAAATGATACGGTTCTGGGGAAGGCCCATATTTTGTGCATATTGTTGAATATTGGATTCTCCTACTGCTGGAAAACGCAACAGCCAGAGCATGCTATTAGGTACACGTTTCAGAATATTTGCCCACATCTGCAGGGTAGAGGGGTCAATTTTATATAGTTGATTAAAGTTACAGTACACAATGGCATCTTCTGGTAGCCCGTACTGGGAACGGGTGGTTACAATAATGGTACGGGGAACTTCCTCTCCAGTTGCAGCCTTATTATTGATCTGTGTAGTTGCCAGTCCATTGCTAATACTGAATCCATTAATGGTTATCTGAATCTGTCCTCTGTGAATCATTTCAATAACTGCTTCTGTAATCGTATTCATGGGAATGACAGGCAGATTAAGAGCAGTGTTACTGGTGTCTGCATTGTCACCTCCATCAGGACATTTCATCTTGACAATCTTCACATCTGGTAGACCATCAAGAAATGCTTTGAGATCGATGCCATTCAGAACTATCCGGTTGTCATAAATGTGCCCATTGGATTTAAAATTGATGACTGCTTTTTTCTTCAGATGAGGGAACATATTAGCATGATCACCAATAAAAAAAGTATGGGGCATGTAAGCCAGTTTCTCAGAATACTGCTCTGCAACTTCAGCTGGGGAAGTTTCCTGATCAGTAATGATATAATCCATGAACAGTGCACCACTAGTCCCAGGGTATCCCAGCCACATTGCCTGAATAGGAGCTGGCCTGAGAGCAAAGAGCTCATTTCGAGCACCCTTGGTATACCCATTCATATTTACAAGGATGTGAATTCCATCCTGGTGAATGCGGTCAGCTGCTTTTCCATTGCATGGAATCTGAGAGAGATCAATGAAATGGTTGGCTTCTGCCATCACCTTCACTCGGAAGTTTGTACCATCATCTGGGCTCAGGGCATAGCAGAATATCTCAAATTTGTCAGGATTGTGCATGCCTGGAATAGACTGCATAAGGTGAGAAGTAGGATGATTCCCAAAGTCAGAACTCACATATCCTACACGCAATCTTCCATTACTGAGCTTCAAGTCTTTTGGATGTTCATATGGTGGTTTATGAAGGACATTAATCTTATCCAAGCAGAGATTCCCATGCCTTTCTGCAATAGCCTTCCTGAAGCCATGAGAAAGAGGGTACAGCATACTATGATGAGGATGCACAGAAGGCAGTCTATTCTTCTCCAGCTGCTCAGCTACAATACTAACCAATTTCTTCATCCGCTCATCATAATCTGTCCAATCACAGATAATTTGTAGGCAATGAGCCAAGTTACAATAGGCATCAGGAAAGTCAGGCTTAAATTTCAGAGCTGTGTTGTAAGAAGCTATTGCTTCTGAGATATTCCCCGAATCCTTGTGAATGAAAGCCAGATTGCTGTGTGCATCTGCAAAGGCAGGATTAATCTGAATGGCACGAGTATAACACTGCAAGGCTCCCTGAACATCCTGCATCTCCTTTAGAGTGTTTCCCATATTAGAATAAGCATCAGCAAATGTCGGACTGATTCTTATGGCTTCCTTATAATGCATCAATGCTTCCTGCAGCTTTCCCTGTTGTTGCAGTACACTTGCTAAATTGGAATGTGCAGCAGCAAACTCTGGGAAAACTTCTAATGCTTGGCGATATAGGCGGACCGCCTCTTCAATATTGCCCTGTTCCCGTTTGACATTGGCGAGGTTATTCAAAGAGTCTGCATGGGTAGGACACAGACGAAGAGCTGTGTTATAACAATCTTCTGCTTCAGCAACACTGCCTTTCTCTTTGAGAGCATTTGCTAGGTTGCAATAAGCATCCGGGAAATGTGGCTGCAGTTCTATAGCTCGCCTGCCCGTATCGATGGCCAGGGCTATTAGGCCTTGCTCATAGTATACACAAGCCAGGTTGCCATGTACCACCACGTGATTTGGGCTCAAACTTAAGGCACGAAGATAAGCTGCCATAGCTCTGTCAAAAATGCGTGCTTCTTTCAAAACATTTCCTAAATTGATATAAGCATCCAGAAAATTTGGGTCAAGGGTAACAGCCTTTTCAAAGTGATGAATTGCCAGCCAAATCTCCCCTTGTGCATTGAAAACACAGCCGAGATTACTCCAAGCTATTGCAAAGTTTGGTTGTGTCTCAATTGCTTTCAAATAACATGCCTTGGCTTCTTCCAAGCGACCCAGGGCTTTGAGCAGGTTCCCCAGGTCACTGCGAACACAGTACAAATCAGGATTGTACTGAAGAGCTGATGCGTAAGCTGGTACTGCTCCTTCCATGTCACCTACTGCTACCAAGGCTGATGCCAGATTAACATAGCCATCAACAAAATCAGGCTTGAGCCGCAAGGAGTGTCGATAATGTTCAATTGCTTCCTGAAACTGCCCTCTTTCCTTGTACACATTCCCCATATTCGAATAGGCTTCTGCTAGAAGAGGATTCTGTTTAATTGCCAAGGTATTAAAGTGAGCAGATCTGTCCAGCCTTCGACACTGAAAGTGTATAGATGAAAGTAATAAAAGAACATCAATATTTTCAGGCTCTTGTCTCCAGAGTTCCATGCAGTGTCTCTCAGCTGCCTCAAAATCTCCTGCCTGATATTCACGATGTGCCAACTCAGCTAGCCCTGTGCTGTCGGCCACGTTGCCCACAGAAGACGCCATCTGGAGCTTCTTGAGACAGAGCAAGCAGTGGGTAGTTGACTTCTACTGCTGCCACTACTGGCAAGAGTGTTTCTAGAGGTAGCAGGAAATGGGCAGCAGCCTTTTCCGTATTTTAGAAGGCTTAAGGTGCGGCAGTGGATACTGGACTTGAATCTTAGGAACTCTTGTTAGAGATTTATCTCTCACTGTCTTGAGACAAAAGAATGAAATTTATTAGAAACATTTTCAGAGTAGTAATTCATTGTTACTTGTGCAACCTATTTTGTATTTGTAATGGAAGACAATTATCATCCAACTTTGCTGAAAAGATAATGGGTGTTACCTCAGAAGGTGATAAAAGTTTGTAATGTGAAAATTGAAATATAAAGATTTTCCTCTTGATCTTTTGAAACAGACTAGCAGATGAATAGAAGTACCTGATATATCCCAGATGAGAAGGAAGTCATATATATGACTCATGTATGAGTCATAAAACATATATATATATATATATATATATATATATATATATGTATATATATAATTAAAATTAATTTTCATACAATATATTCTGACCAGAGTTACTCGTCTCCAAATTCCTCCAACATTTTCCCCAAATCCCCACCCACTCAACTCCAGATACTTTCTTTCTATCTTACTTTTTAAAACAAAAATCAGATGAATATAACAAACCAGAATAAAGAGAATAAAAGAAACATACACACACATGCACACACAACCCATTAAAAAAATACAAAATCAGAAACCAGAATTTATAAGCAAAAGGAGTAAGACCAAAAATGCTAAAGCAAAACAACACCAGAAAAAAAGTACAAAAGTACCATTGAATATATTCTGTGTTTTCTATCCACTGCTGGGCATGGATCCTACTCTCATGTGTGGTTAGTGTACCCTGTGAGATTCCACTGGAAAGTTTGTAGAGTTCCTAATTAGCATGAGACAAACCTTGGATTTTATCTATAACAATGCATAATCAGGACTTAGTGCGGAGCATTTCTAACACTGGGACTCTAGAGGTGGAGACACAAGGACCAGGAGCTCAGGGAGATTCTTGTTACATTGTAAGTTCTAGGCCACCCTGTAGTATGTAAGACCCTGTTTAAAAATAAACAAACAAACAAACAAATAAATGTTGATAGAATGAAGAAATAAAAAGAAAGAAAATATACCACAGGATCAAAAACTGTTTTTAGTATAAAGCTCAAAAAGGTTTTGTGTAAAATAAGCACATACAGAAGCACAATTATAACAAATACTAAAGTTATTTTTAAAAGGACACATTAATTTATTTATTTTTGTGTATATTGGCATGTGAATACACACACAAGCATGCACACACAAATTTCATGTTCCATGTTTAGAAGACAAAGGTTTACCTAAAATAGTCATTTCTCTGTTTCTACCACATGGATCCCAGGGATTAGATTTAAATTGACATATGTGGCACTCAATGGGCTGATCTTTGACTGATCTTTGAGGGTTTTAAACACTGCTTTTTCTTTATATAATTAATTAAATGAATTACATTTTCTAAAAAGTAAAATTTTCAAATTTATTTAAAAAATTACACTTTCCCGCTAGGCATTAGTGAAACATGCCTTTAATCCCAGCACTTGGGAGGCAGAGGCAATCAGATCTCTGTGAGTTTGAGGTCAGCCTGGTCTACAGAGAGAGTTCCAGGACAGTCAGGATAGTTACACAGAGAAAACTATCCTGTCTCTAAAAAAGAAACCCACCCACACAAAAACTTACATTGCTCCATTCCTCCCCTTCAAAACCTTCCAAATACCCCTCCACACTCTTCTTCAAATTAATAAATTCTTTTCCCCCTAATAGTTGTTGTATGCATATAGGTATATGAATACATATACATTATGTATTGTATTGTTTTGGTCATATTATACATTTTGATCATATTCTTTCCCTCCCCCTATTATTTCAGATCCTGCCCACATCCTTACACATCTAATTTCATTTGATTCCCCCCTCCACATGGGAAAAGAACAAAATTCTGATATTTGAAATAACATGAATAAATCTTAATTGTATAAAATGATACTCAATGAGCATATAGTGAGGAAAATTTAGACATAAATTACTGCACACAGAATGTCATGCAACAAAATCTGTGCATGAACAGTGACTGGTACTATCAAAGATCAGTTGGTAAGGAGTGGTTGCCTGGCCTGTATATTGGAGATAATATATGCAATCAGGGCTGATGTGTCTGAAAAACAGCATTATCATGGGGCAAATTTTGATGGCTACATTCCCCCAAATGCCAAGAGAGTATATGGCCCATTGCTATAATGGTAGTAGCATGTTGTATGGCTGAGATGACATTTAACTATACTGAAGCTATCTGAGAATTCAATGTTCTAAGGGAACTACCAGTATCTTCCCTTCATGGAATAAACAGAAATGCCTCCGAAAAGAATAGTCCCAAAGTTGTAAATATGGAACTCTCCCTAAAAAGATTGGTGAACTAAAGTTTATATTGTCATTCATGAAAGTAGCATAGCTGGGTTAAGGTCCTTTGCAAGTTATGGCAGCTGTTCAGTACCCAAAGTGGAAGATGGGCTATAATGACTTGTGTCTTTTTGAGACAGAGTATCACTATGTATTCCCACATGACCTGAAACTATGTAGTTGTATACCCTGGGCTGCCCTCAAAAGCAGAGAAACCCAACTGCCTCTGCCTTTGAGTCTGCCTCTGGGTTTAAATGTGGGTATTACCATACTTGGGTGCTTGCTTTTTTCATATAGCTGTCAAATACAAGGATAAGGATATAAAGGTTGTAGTTGTGCTAAAGATCACTTTCTTGGGGCCAAAGACAAGCAACCCATGTAAAGAATCAGAGACTGAAAAGGGAGGAGTTAGAAATCGTAAAAATTCTATTCAGCTTCAAGTGTTAATATACTGAAAGAGAAAATCTATAATTCATTATTAAGACAGGGGTCTAGTAACGGCCCTCTATAGCGAACTATGACAATTAGTGAATATTCAGCATCAGAACAGCTGAAGTTGATAAAGACTTTTTGTTGATGTTTTGCTGCTTTGAGACAGGGGTTACTATGTAGCTGTGGCTGGTCTGTAGCTAACTAAGGAGACCAAGCAAGCCTTTGACTTCAAGAGATCCCTGACTCTGACTTCCAAGTGAAATGATTAAAAACATGCACTACTATGCCCCAATGGGAGGACTTCTAGCCATGAAATGAAAAGTCCCTTAAAGCCTGGGTCTTTATGCTATGTGTCATGGGAATGGATATGGTCTGAGTGTTATGGGAATGAAGAAACTAAGTCATATACCACTCATCTCTCTTTAAGAAACAACTTTAATTACCTGTGGTAAACTACTCTCCCCTTCATAGGAGCCTTTAGAGACACTTAGTTATTGGTGTATGAGGTCCCCATGAGTATCAGGTATGGAACACAATTAGATGTCCTTATGAATATCAGGGAGTACAAAACAATGAAGGGAGAATAAGCATTACTGAGTGAGCTGCAGATATGTGAGATCATGTTGAAAGAGTTTCGACTAGCATGGGAACAAGGTTCATAAAGTTCCAGAGCAACTGATAAGGAAGCAGGGGCTATCCCAAGGAGACCAAGTGTCTGCCTGCATTCATTTATCAGTGAATGTGTTAAGACTTGTTCTAAGCATCAAATGCCCCCAAGAAAACACGACCAGAAAGTCACATGCTGTCCTAGTCAGCTTCTGGTCTACTTTAGAGCCTGTGTAGCAGTTTATAGGAGACATAAAGGATAAACAATGCTGGTAATAAAGATTACATTTGAGACTTGGTCTGGGGACACATGTCTTTAATTCCAGCGTGAGAAAGACAGAGGAGGCTCTCTGTGAGTTAAAGCATATGCCCCGGTCTACATAGTGAGTTCAAGTTACCCAGGGTTGCCTAATAAAAATATTATCTTTTGAAAAATTGTTTTACATATTAAATTTGTACTATGGATAAGCAAATATCTTCCTCAGAGATCTCACTATACATTTTTTTCTCTCCTACAGCAAGACGTGCTGCAGGAAGATATTATTTGCCTCGCCCCAGTCTTTTTCTGTGGTCGTTTTGGTCAATGGAAAGGCATGTTCCTCGGTACTTTCCTGGAGCCTGTGAAAGGGGTTGAACAGATTGGCAGGCATGACAGGCTAGAGAGTAGCTGTGATGGCTTTTATAAGAAATGTTCCCCACAGATTCCCGGTTTTGAATACTTGGTTCCTCGGTGGCTATGTTTGATGGGCTTTAGGTGTTGTAGCATTTGCGGAGGAAGTACATCACAGGGCATGGGTTTGGGGATTAAAAGACTTGTGCCGCTTTCAGTTCCCTCTCCCTTCTTACTGCTCATCATCTAAGCTTTCTTCTTTCTGCTTGTATTTGAAGATGTGACCTTTCAGCTTCCTACACGAGCAACCATGAATGGTGAGTAACTTAAAGTTTAGCAACACAAAGAGTTTATGAATGTTTCAGAAGATGTGACTGCTAACAACCCTGCTTAGATATCAATACAATATACATATATAATGATTACACTATGGTTCCAACACATATAAATAGTTTATACATGAAAATAAGATCTCTGGGAACTTCCCTAATACCAGGTTTCTCCCTATCTCTCTGATATCTCCCTCTATCATGATATCTTTCATTGCTCTCCCACTCTGTCCCTGCCCATCTTGACCATGCTGTTCCCTTATGTTCTCATCCCCCATCCCCGACCCTCTATTGCTCACCCTCTTGCCCCCAGTTTAGACTAGCAATAGTGGAGAGGGTGCCTGAACTGACCTACCCTGGTAATCAGATTGGTGAACACCCTAACTGTTATCATAGAGCCTTCATCCAGTAACTGATGGAAGCAGAAGCAGAGACCCACAGCCAAGCACCAGGCTCAACTCCCGGAGTCCAGTCGAAGAGAGAGAAGAGGGATTCTATGAGCAAGGAGCATCAAGATCATGATGGAGAAATTTACAGAGACAACCAAACCAGGCTAGTGGGAACTCACAAACTTTAGACCAACAGCTGTGGAGCCTACATAGAACTGGACTATAGGCCTTCTTGCATAAGCAAGACAGTATTGTAGCTTGGTCTGTTTAAGGGGCCCCTGGAAGTGGGATCAAGATATATCCCTGGTGGCATTTTGGAGTTTATTACCTATGGTGAGACACCTTGCACAGCCTTGATGCAGTGGGAAGGGGCTTGGACCTGCCTCAACTAAATGTACCAGGCTTTGCTGACTCTCCATGGGAGGCCTTACCTTCCTGGAGGAGGGGATGGAGAGCGGTTTGGGGAGGGAGGTGGGAGGGGAGCTGAAGGACAGATTAGAGGGAGATCTGTGATTGGTACGTAAAATGAATAAAAAATTTCTCAATAAAAACTAAAGATAAAAAAGAAAATAAGATCCCCCCTCTCTCTGTCTCTGTCTCTGTCTCTTTCTCCCCAAAAAGATGGCCAAGTACGGTAAATGTGCAATACTCAGATGACAAATAGTAGAAGGAGAAAATATCCTCCTGAATGTGGTCCTCTGACTTCACATGGGTGCTATTGATGCACATGCACACAACACATACCCACACATATACAGACACATTCTAATAATTCATACAACAATGTTTTTAAAATGTATATGAGATACATACACAATAGAACAATGTTTAGCTGCAAAGAAAATTAATTTATGAAATTTTATGGTTAATAGATCGAAAAGGAAAAAAAAAAAACAACCACACTGAATGATACCACCCAAACCCCAGAGATTAAATATTTCATGTTCTCACTCACATGACGGTCCTATTTAAATTCTTTTTTTTATGTGATTATATGAAGCCCATGTGGAAAATAGAAAATTAGAAACCTGTCATTGGCAGAGAGGGATGCATTAAGAGTAGAGTGTTAGTATACTTGAGAAATCAAAGTAGAGAGGGAATTTTTGGAAGCAGATGGATTAAAGTGAGTGGTGGAGTGGGTAGTATGGTTAATGAGGTTTATCCAAAATGAAATGTGCATGAATAAGATACATGTGGACATATACAGTTGTTTATATACTAATTCAAATAATAATACGTGAAAATATTAGAGTATATGTGATGTAAAAGATCATAGAACCAGCACTGGAAGCTAAATATGTGAGTAGAAATGGGGACAGGGTATTAGGTGGGCAGGAAGCAAATGAGTTGTGCAAACCAAAACTAAAGATGAAGAATCGTATGTAACACACACACACACACACACACACACACACACACACACACACACACACACACTTAAGTGGTTCAAACAGAAATATCTAACATTTTTAAAATCATTACTCCTAAAAGGCATGAGTTATTAAATAAAAATCTCAGTGACAGACAAGTGTTACTCTTTTAGAAGTTATTGATTAGATAATTGCAGAAAGCATCTAAAACTATATAGGCTATTGTAACTCTTTTTGGTTGCCTCTCAACACTTTATGGTAAGATAATGTGGTTGAAAGCATCACATATTTTATTTTTGCTGGACATGGAGAAATTAACCTTGAACTAACCATGATATTCACCCTCTGGCTAGCTTGCAGAGTGCTAGAAAGTGCTTTTCAGACTCTGGACAAGAAGAAAGTTAATTGTTTATTGATCCTTGGCTTAACCTCATATGCTGCAATAATAACCTGCCAGGCAAAATATACCCACAGTACAATAATGTCAAGACCATGCTGAGAGTAACCAACCACATTCTTGATTGGAATTGAGGCCTCCTCCACAGGAGGGAATTCAGGCATGTTACTGAAAAATACGATCAAAAATCATGACTAGGGATGCTGTAGGTCCTAGCAGAGAACCTATTGATGTTATTTTTCTATACGGCCATTTTTGTCAAACTCCGTTTTAAATATATATGTTTATGTCCATGAATTTGTGCTGGTCAACCTTGGCTAGACAATATTTGTTTTTGTTTTTGAGATAGAGTTTCTTTGTTGAACTTTGGCTGTCCTGAAACTAGCTTTGTCAAACCAGGCTGGTCTTGAACTGACAGTGATCTGCCTGCCTCTGCCTCCTAAGTTCTAGGATTAAAGGCATGCACTACCACTGCCTGGCTTAGACAAGAATCTTACAGCAGATGGTGATCACTAATGCTTAGATGATAACTACGTAAAGCACTCAGAATAAGCAACTGTGAGTCCTCAGTCATAGATGAGATATCTAAAACACTTCCCTCCAGGTTTCAAGGGTATAAAGAAAAAGGGAGTGGAAAGAAAATAAGAGCTGGGGTATGAGGGGGAATGCTGGGAAACTTTGTCCCATACACACAGCAAGGCTGTTGCAAACAAAAACTCCACGGTTTTGGTTACATATATAATCCTCACGAGAACAAGTACAAACCCAAGCAAGGAGGATGGAGGGGCTCTCAAAGCTTTAACCCTAGGACTTACTGGCACTGTTGGTTGCCAGGGAACAAGTATCATTTTTCTTTAGAAATGTGGTCATGAATACAGACAACATGCTGCAACATAATAAAGACATACAAGAAGCCCAGAGCCAGTGTCATGCTATATGAAGAAAAACTCAAAGGATTTTCATTAAAATTAGGAACAGGATAAGGATATTCACTCTTCTCCCTCCTTTTCAGTATTGACTGTATTAGAAGTCCTAGGGCAGCAAGAAGACTGAAGGATAAAAAGGTGCTGCAAATAGGGAAGGCAGAAGTCAAAGTATCCACATTTGAATAAGATATAATTCCCTATGTAAAAATTCCTAAATATGGCATCAGAAACCTTTTAATGCTGATAAGTACATTCAACAAAGTCATAGTGTAAAAATATTAACACTCAAAATTCAGTAGGTTTCCTAAATTACAAGCATGTTGAGAAATAAATCATAGAAACAATAATATCTACTATATATAAATTATGTATAACACATTATTTTACATGAAACATATTACAACTTTTTATAATACACACACACATATACGTATATAAAATACATGTAGAAAAATGTTAGTCTGCAGTGAAAATTGAAAAAATTGGAAAACTAAATTTAAGAAGAAACCAGAGTCTGAAATGCCTCCCAAGGTCATGGATTGCTAGGGCTATTATTGTGAAAATGGCCACTCTACCAAAAGCAATTCTCATGTTCAATGTAATCTCCAACAAAATTCTTCACACACATTTAAAAAGGTAATTGTAACTTTATATAGAAACACACACACACACACACACACACACACACACACACACACACACACACACAAACCTCACTGTAGCAAAAAAAGAATAATAAAAAGCAGCAGGAAGTATCGCCATCCTAAATTTCAAGTTAAGCTACACAGAAACGGTCTGGTATATTACTACTGTGCTGTATCTGTGTTAATTAGCAGCTCTGGAAAAGTAACAATGGAAAACCTGAGAGAGGTGCTGGCATGGGTTACTACTCCATTGCATTTTGGAAAAACCTTCTAAAATCTTAAATCTACACACCATTTTGAAATGAAGAACAAAATATAATTCCAAAAAAGCAAAGACATGTCCCTATGGACTTATATGTCCCATATGTCATATGCATATCTTATAAACTTCATTCAGGATCGGGGATCAGAAAAGGTAAAACAGATAACATATCCAAATCAAATATCTCCCAAATCAACAGTTTATTTTTTCGATACAGATAGCATTACCAAATAAACAAAAAAACAAAAAACAAAAAACAAAACACTGAAACATGACCACAATGTTCAAACAAAATCACCTTACAATATCATAGAAAAATGTTTATCTTGCGGTACTACTATATAGACTGCTGTATGTAACAGACAGTCCACCTCTTCACATACTGGCCTTTTTGCCGACATACTCACTCACTTCTGACCTTAAAATGGACTCTCTCTCTCTCTCTCTCTCTCTCTCTCTCTCTCTCTCTCTCTCTCTCTCTCTCTCTCCTCTCTCTCTCCTCTCTCTCTCTCTCTCTCTCTCTCTCTCTCTCTCTCTCTCTCTCTCTCTCTCTCTCTCTCTCTCTCTCTCTCCTCTCTCTCTCCTCTCTCTCTCTCTCTCTCTCTCTCTCTCTCTCTCTCTCTCTCTCTCTCTCTCTCCTCTCTCTCTCTCTCTCCCCCCCCCCCAGCCCTCTGTCCTTCTTTCTTACAGCCATTTCGGAAACCCCTTTCTTTATCATAACTATCATAGTGTCAGAACTCATACTACCTATTTTTTCAAGCATTCATAACTGGCAGGTCTAAATGACTGGGGTCTATTGGACCTCCCACTCCACTGTTAATCTATATGTTAATTCTTACCCGCTTTCATCCTTTCACACACTCCTGTGCAAAGAAGACACCCAATTTAACTTCCATTAGGACACACCTACATCACAATTGTTCCTTTTGGTTGGATCACTGCCCCTATTCCCACACGACGATATTCCACAATACTGCCTAAGCTTTGAAATGGAAATGCTCATCTAGGAAGAGAATTGAGCCCAAGTGACAGGGCAGATTGAGGGATCATTGGGAGGAGCATTTTGCAGCTAATACAACAGAGGGTAGGACAAAGGAAGCCAGGTCCTAACAGGATAGATTTCTGATGTGATTCCTCAGAGCCAAAGATTTTAGATCTATACAATAATGTTCTAATCCATACAAATTCCCAACCCTTAACATGAAAAAAAAAAAGAAAAAGTCCACCTATGAAAGACACAACAGGGCTCAGAGGGAGCTGACCTTGGCTGCTGCATTGTCTCGCTGACCATTCCTCAGGTGGAAGCGGCAGGCGTCTTTGGCTTCCTCTCCTCTGAGCAGAACTGCTGCTGCGCTGATTTCACTCATCACTCTCCCAACCCCCAGCCTGCGCTAGTGAGCCCCGTACAACCCTGTAATCACGCATGCGTGCTTGTTTGCCAGGCTGCAGGGACTCAATAATCTTTTCTGAACCTAATGACATAAGATAGGCAGCCATGAGCTTTAGGCTTTCTTATTGTCAGTATGGTAAAGGAGGGGCGTCACAATCCCCTGATTAAATTGGCCAGGAACAGATTCAAAGCACTTATGTGGTCAACGTGTATTATATAATCTTAACTCACCGTTTGCTTTCTATATACAGTAGTGAAAGGCTGCTTAGGAAAAATGTAACCCAAAATAGAGAAGGTGTAAAAACACTAGACATTTGAAGCACTGTCAGGAAAAATCAATAATGATTAAAAGATACTGCATTAAAAACATTCTGCGTTAACCAGATATTACTTGATTAATTTTATTTTTATTTTTAAAATTTCAAATGTGTTCAGGTAAATTGAAAACCTTACTATGAACATAATAGTTGCTGTTTTTATAAAACTGTTGCGTGATCTCGCAGTGTTGAAATTTCTTTAATTATGCTCCTAAAAAAAGACGTGCTCTAATCTGGTAAATGGGTGGTGAGTTAAGGGGGGAGGCAGGAGGGACAGGAGGAGGGAGGAGAGGGGGATCTGTGACTGGTATGTAAAATGAATAAAAAATTCCTTAATTAAAAAAAAGAAAATACACAAGAAAATAAAGATGTGCTAGGATGTAGATTTTCTGCTTATTTCCTTATTTATTTATTAACTCTTTTTGAACAGGTTCTCCTGTTTAGACAGGGTTGGTATTTGAATTCACTTGGTAGATCAGGCTGGTCTTGAAATCACAACAATCCAACAGGTTCCACATCCTGAATTCAGGGATTAAAGATATGTGCCAGCACAACTGGCTAGAGTTTATTAATTTTAAACACGTATATGTTTCTGTCTCTCTCTCTCTCTCTCTCTCTCTCTCTCTCTCTCTCTCTCTCTCTCTCTCTCTCTGTGTGTGTGTGTGTGTGTGTGTGTGTGTGTGTGTGTGTGTGTGTGTTTTAAGAGGTGTCAAGTAGTCCAGAGGCATTGGATACTCCCAGAGCTGGAGTTACATGCACTTGTGAGGTGACTGACCGACTTGACTTGGGATCTGGAAACCAGCTTCCAGCCTTTTGGCAGAGCGATAGCTGCTCTGAATAGCTTAACCATCTCTAGCTCTCCTATTCACTTTTACACCTTCACAAATTAGATCCCTACTGAATATGCAAAAAACAAACAAACAGCTAGACAAACTCGGACTTTGAAGCATGAATATATTACAATTTTCCAATAAATATATTTTGACCTAGTAATATCACCGTCTCCTGGTCAAAGACCATAAAATCAGCACTGTACACTATACTGTCAAGGAGGAGAAGATCTACAAAAATGAAAATGTGGCTTTGGAAGCAAATTTAATTTTTTTCCAGTAACGTTGGCTGCCCAGAGCAGGTATAAAGTACTATTTTGATGTATTCTACCACTTCAGTTTGATGAGGAAGTTGAAAGAAATGCAAAGGGCAGTTTCCATTGCAGAGGATCCAGAGCCCAAGCCTCTGCTCCCCTCAGCTCCTGTCTTCTCCCTGGTCACTATGGGGAAGGAGCCTCTAAGAACCTCTTTATGTGATATCTGTGGGAATTGTGGGAGTGACAAAAAGTAGCTTCTGTGGAAGCCAAGTAAAGAACAGCTGCTATCCTTCTAAGTCAGAGTTGCACAACCCCATAAACCTTCACTTATATCTGGAGGGCAGTTATCTTATTTCCTGTGCTTACATATACTGCTCCCTCTTCCATTCTTGGTAATTTACAAAAATCTTGGCCAAGTAGAAGAACTTCAGTTAACCCATTTCAAAAAAAACAGGTCCTGGCTAGGGGACGCCCTACTATGACCTGTATGGATTCATCAGCCCCCTGAAGACATTTGGGGGTTGGAATCCTAAACATCTGCTGCCTTCTCTCTGAACCTGTCTATCTGCTATCTGCATCTCAGCTCACTTCTGCCTGTGAGTCATCTCCACCCTTCTCCTCACCTTGCCATTTCCGGTGGCTATCTGGCTTGATACAGACCGGACTAACTGGCTACAGCTGCTTAAAAAAAATCCTCCTCGGTTTTAGATTTTTACTGTGCTTATCTCATTTCATGATACTCCTTAAAGGATTTATTAAATTGTTCCTCTCCTCATATACTATATTTTTGAATAAGAGTTCCTGTTTCTATATTAAAATAACTTCAGTACAAACTTAATATTTTTAAGGCTAAACCTGATGGGTATAAAACCTAAGTTCTAAGCTTATAAGGACAACTAACCTATAAATTCTTAAAAAATAAGTTTACTTTAATTAAATATAATTAAAAAATGAAACTTATTGATTGATTGGCCGACCTGAACTGTAAACTGTTAAGGATACGTTGTACTTAAGCTATAAACTATTAGAGATAATTATTGGGATACAAATTAAAACTTGACCATCTTATGAATGATCAAATTCTCTAATGTATGCAAAATCATATTTGTATACATGCTAAATTTCATATAACCAGTTCATTACTTAGCCCCCTAGCATTTAAAATGTTTAAGCTTTAGAAAAAAACTGCCATAAAAATTGTCTCAGGAAAGGTTGATCCTGACCTTACTGAAGAGATTAAGATCATTGTACACCTCTTATTGCCAGGATTTTGTCCAAACTATGCTTTGAGATAATTTAGATTATATCCCCATTTACCAGGCCTAAAAGACAATTTGCCTTGCTATCTAACTTCATATAAAAGATAGCTCACCTCACAGATTTCAAAATGACCTTTTACTGTTTCTTTATTAAAAGAAATTCACTTTACATTAGCTAGTCTCAATAATCAGTCACCTATATCTCCTCATGATTTAAATACAAAAATGCTTTTAGATGTAAAGTTTTTATAAAGATATGAATAATTAGATATAAAAATGTTTAAGAACGTTAAGAAATAGTTTAATATATATGTAGTGCAAGTCATTGGGATAGAGAAATATAAGATACAAACATCTAGATATGTTATAAATGATACATGAATCTCAGTAAATAACCTAGAGATACTGAGAATGTAAGGCTAAGTTAGATCTATGGATAAAGTTTTTATTGAGGTCTGAGATAGATATATAGGCTTTAAGAATGAACTTATATATGCCTTAATACAAGAGTCTATGGACCTCCCCAGAAGGGACACTGGGGCTAATTATAGGCCATAGCTCCTCTGCTGTATAAGGTATAAAAACTGTCCCAGGGAAGGTTGATCCTAACTTTGCTGAAGAAACTAAGATTATTGTACAACCCCCCACAAAAACAATTCAGATTCATACAGGGCAGCACCTTAGGGAGCTGCCAGTTTGAATTCTAGGGATATGGCTTTCTGCGTTCAGAAATTAAATATTCCAGACCAACTAATAACTTAAAATACAGGGAAAGAAAAATAATTGGCTTGCTAAACATAAGCACGGCTTTTTCTAATATTTCAGGAAAAGATTGGCCAAGTATAAACTTATGGCATATTCTAAATATTGGGCATATAAAGCCCCCCACCAGCCCTTGAGTCTCCCCAATATTTGTTGTTTAATGAAAATCAGGCTTATAGACTGTTACAAGACCTTAAGAAATTAAGTAGAATTTATTAAAGCCAAGGGGAATCTCACAGCCTGGCTTGCTATCCATCCCCAGAAACAAAAAAATAATCGTCATAGATGTGCAAGATTGCTTCTTTACCATACCTCCTCAACCTAAAGATTGTCAGCATTTCGATTTTAACTTGCCTACTCACCCTACCATGATGGAGGCCAAAGCTGACATACAGAGCAGGAAATTCGAGTTCTGTTTATCCAGGACTGATTTATTGAGCAGAGTTCCTCATTTTATATATACAGATTGACTGTCAGAACTAACTGTCAATTATAGCTTCCTCACAATCCCCCAACCTAATAATAACATATGTATATATGTATATATACATATATCTTACAATACATTTATTACACAGATAATATTATATCAAACTCTAAAACTTATGAGTCTATAGATTGGCAGATAGCTCTACAGGATATACTGGCACCTTTTCATATGTCTGCCCAACAATTACAAATTCTCTCCCTATGGATGCTCACCCACGAGTCTTACATCCTTATGATTTATGGTTATGAAATGAGAAGTAATACACCATTTATTTCACTGCTTTTCAATTTTAGGAATGCCTAGAGCTCATACATACACAACAGCCTTACATATACTTTAAGAGATCTTAAGAATTGGTGCTTAATTTTTTCATATCTCCCACTACAGACATTCCTTATTACCCCCAGGCCAAGACACAAAGTTACACCTAAGCTGCTATGATCTTCTCACTGTTATTTGAAAAGGCCCTGATGTTTTCATAATGTCAAGAAGAGGATATGCTTACATGTCTTCACAGGACATTGACCCACCTTTATGAATCCTGAATTGCCTGGTCACACCATATACTAGGCCTCTGCAGGACAAAGGCACTCTATAGCTGCCAGTCTGAATACAGACTGTTATTTACCTCTAGATTCTTAAATATTAAGCTTTAAATATAAATAAATTGGTACAATTTCAGATCCTTTTGATGAACTGTTCATCAATGATATAAAACTTATAGAAATATGATTAAAATTAATAATTCTGTTCTAAATGTTTGTTATTTTTTGTCAAAAGATAAATGAGGCTTGAGAGATATATAAATGACATATTTCAGATTTCATTCTCTGGCTATCGTGATGTTTTGTTGAGACTCCAAGGATTCATAATTTTGCTCTGATAAAATTTACCACTATTATATTGCTAACATGTCTAAGATTTTGTCTATTAAGAAGGTTCTTATAAGCTCTAGCAGATCAAAATTTGCCAAGCCAAGAGGACTGGGAGAAATGCAACCTAACTACAGTTTTTATCTCCCACTTAAAAGATTTTTTCTTCTCTGGGGGGAAGGAGCCTTCCCTCTCCCTGGCCTAATATCC